AGAGAGAGAGAGAGAGAGAGAGAGAGAGAGAGAGAGAGAGAGAGAGAGAGAGAGAGAGAGAGAGAGAGAGAGAGACAGAGCAGACTGAGAACTTCAAAATGCTGAGTTTAAATACCCGTGAAGAAACCTGTTTCGACTGCAGGTCGTCGAATATTGTATGAAGTCAAATGCACGATCATAATTTAGGAAGAGGAGGATCCTACGAACACCTAAACCACGAGTAGAAATCTTCTCCTTGCTTCCATACTTCTCAACTTCTGACTACATATTAAGAAATCATTTGCAAGATCAGTTCTTCCTCACCTGATAACACTATTCAGTGCTCTCTCTCTCTCTCTCTAACTAACTAACTAACTATCTAAAACCGTACCAGCAACCTGTGACAAGTGGTGACTGTGGTGCAATGTCCTTAATACATCTAAGAATGTATATATACAGCTTTTCCCCCGTGATATGAATCGTGCGATTTTCAAGAACCTCTGTCCCAAGCAATTAGCGATCCCATCTTCTCTAGTAATCGTGCACTTACTATATAATTCACCATTCATGCGTGAGTTCTACCAACCTCCTGCTGCGGGGTCAATACGTGTGTGTCCTCGCCTACATGCCTGCCGTGACTACTCGTTACCCTACCCTACCCTATCTACAGGTCTTCTAGTTTTTTTTTGCTTCCCTTCTTTGGAAGCGTCTTCTAGAGTATGATTTCCGTAACTAAACACTCTTCTCTAGAGTCTCGGCCGATCCACTGCAGTTACCCGAAGGTCTGCTCCGTCTTCACCACGATGCAGGCCCTAGGGTTCTTGTGACCGTTGTTGAAGTTTCCTCCGTCCTCATACTGCGCCGCGCTGATCTGGACCTTGATGCACGCGTTCAGGAAGTCGCTGGGATTGCCAACGTTGAACTCGCGAGAGGCGAGGTGCCTGCCATTGCCGTACAGCCGATGCTGGCACGCATTCGTGTTCCACTTCTGGCCCTTGAGAATCGCGCAGCTTGCCGAGTTCACGACCTTCACGGGGCGAGTGTCGTACCTGCACATCAGAGTCGAGGAGTCAACCACCACACATCCCACTCGGCCTAAGTATCGCCAAATCTTCCAATCAAGGTATTGGGTGGGCAGCTCACCTTATCATATCATATCATGCCTTGAATCACTCTGCACCTGACATATCCTCGGACCGGCCACGTTGAGCTATTTCTGAGCTTGATCAACCAAAACGAAGGGGCTGAGACAAGGGACGGGGTGCAGGATCAGTCTCCCCGAAGCACCTCTCTCGTGAAGCGGAGCAGCAGAGCACACTTACGGTAGACAAGACCGACATCGGTCGAAACTGGAGCGATGCATAGAAGATTAGCACGGCCCCGGTCAAGACTGACACGCGAACATCGAGGTCCGAGGAAAGGTGCAAATTAAACAGACAAAGCAAACACCTCCAGATATGTATGCTTCGAAACCTGACGAAGTAGGGAAGTACATTTGTCTAAGTCGCCAGCGTTTGTATGGTCGCATCACTCCCACTCCCCAGCGTTTGTGTCGTCGGGATGGAACGGTGGAAGGAAATCGACCTAAAAAAAAAGGAGGACAATTCTACCAGCGTCTTGACTGCCGTCCACTCGGACAAAGACGCTGTAAGGATGACTGTGTGCTCAGCGGGAAAAAAAAACACGAAGGAGAGCCAGAGCAGAGCAACAGACATCCACGGAAGAAACAACAAGTCCCGGACAAGAGACCTCCAAAGGAATACCTTTCTGATCCGATCAGTTTAGTATTATCTGATCCGTGGTCCATCGGACCATTTAAAATTAAAAAAAATAATAATAATAATAATAAAAAAAAGACGGAAAGACGGGAGAACTAAGAAAGTCTAGAACGACCTAACTGCGCAGCAGGAATTTTCTAAATGCATCTGACAGCAATTACGGACACACGGGGATTGATCTGCATCCAATCACGATCAGAGATAAGTCCATCAAAATCGCCAGTGTGAGTATGCCCTAAGAGCGGAGCAGGGGCATTGCCACACCACTCCCGAAATGTGCAAAATGAGAATGAATTTCCTTCTAGAACATCGCCAGATCCACCCGCCAAATTTCGAGAGTGGTGCCGCGCGGCCCTAACAGGGGAAAGGAACGAAAGAAAGAGCGATCACGATGAGAGCCGAGTCGGAGAAAGCCCCAGTGTGAGTATGCCCCACGAGCGGAGCAACAGAGGATGAACCAAAGCAAGAATCAACAGTCTTTCACAGGAAACCAACGAAAAAAACAAAAAAGGAAAAGACGAACAGGGTGAACGAAAGAAACAACCAGCAAGATTGTATTGTTTGATTGATGGTGTTGAGGAGAGGGGATGCCTTACCCATCTCGGTGCAGAATATGGCCGCATTGGACGTAGATGGTATTGTCTCCCTTACGGATGAGCTTGATTTTCGGCACGTTGTTCTGGTGACCATAGAAGTAGAAATCGCAGCCCTTCAGCGCCGTCTCGCAGGACGACGGACAACCGCCACACCCCGATGTCAGGCGGCGGAGACCATGGACGAATGGGATCGCGGCGCAGAGGGCAACGCAAACTAGCGCCATGGCCAGCAACACACTAGTGCTCGGGCGCGCCATCGTCTACCTACTTCGAGAGCGAATGGGAGCGGGAGGCAGAGAGACGGCAGAGGATAGAGCTTGGGGGAGAGACGATTAAGGCAAACTTAAGATGGTGGAGGTGGCTCACAGGTCCTCTCCAGTCCTATGGAGACGCACTCTTCCGATTCGACTCTACTGTTGTCTGATCGACCGCACCGCGATTGATTTATATACAGTAGTACAGTGCGGGATCGAACTCAATGACATGCCATCCCTGCATCTCCGCCATCACCCAGCCTCTGTAAGGCTGTAACTGAGCGGCCTGGCTGCAGCACTCGCCAAAGGCTAACATTATTTTTAGCTTTTTGTGTTTTCACGTTCTGAATGTATAGGGACCGAATAGTGTCCGGACACATTAAACATGTTGAAGTACGGCAAAAGTGGAGCGGTGAGGCCCTCGTTAGATGAATGCGCTCCTTACCACACCGCTCAGCAAATGAGAATGAATCTGCTCGACGAAGATGGAAACGTACACCGTAGAAGTATTTGTCCGTTGTGCATTTGGTGAGCGGCGGGAGGCACTGTAACTGCGAATTACCTGCGGTCGGTCAGCTTCATAATGATACCTCGGGGCCATCGAGCTGGATAGAAAACAAATCCAAAAAGCGCGGGAAATCCTCCGACAGCTGTCGGCTTTTAAAACAGCAAAATTCGTGCCGCACCCACGGCCCATGGCCGCCTGCGGCGGACTTAGTGCCAACGGACTGTAATGGTCCTCTGGATACCCCTGATTGATATTAACGGGGTCTATGGGGTGAGTGTGAGCGCGAGTGGGTTGTGTGTGGTGTGTGTGAGAGTGTTGGCCATAACCCCTGCTGCTACTCGATGAGGGGTGGGGAACGATGAGAAGGGAGGCGCAGCTACTGGCAAAATGCTCGGTCTTGGCGTTAGCCGGACCCCCACCGGCGGCCCCACCCCATCTCTGACTACCGCTGTTTGGGGGGCGGGGCCGACATGAATTACCTCGTTTGCTACGCCCTATGCTTGCAGGGGTCCCCTCTTTATAGTCTTAGGGGTAGTGGTAGGAAAGAAATGAAAGGCCAAAAAGAATTTGAGAGAAAAACGTAGTGTATTAAAAAAAAAAAAAAAAAAAAAAAAAAAAAAAAAAAAGAAGAAGAAGAAGAAGAGGAAGAAGAAAAGAAAGAAAGAAAGAAAAAGAAAGTATGTATTTCTTTGGAGGATTTCAAAGAAAAAGACAAAAGAAGGATAATTTTGTTTTCCTTTTTTTTTTTCTCCGTTATCTTTCAAGTTCTGGCGGGATGTCCTGAAGGAAGGAAAGAAAGCGTGTTTTCAACTTTTTTTTTCTTTTTTCTTTTTGTTTTTTTAAGAAAAAACTCCATCTATTGGTGGGGAGCTGCACCTGCTGGAAAACGGGTCCAGCGTCCCATCAGTATTTGAAACTCGTGATAAAGAATCTGCTGGGAAACGGGCCCAGCGTCCCTAAAAGATCAGCTGAGAAACGGGCCCAGCGTCCCTAAAAGATCAGCTGAAAAACGGGCTCAGCATCCCTTGTCTGATGAAAGAAAAAAAAATTGCTGGAGCAGGTTTACTTCACGTATGGGGGCGAATCAGACGGCCATGCACCGCGGACGTCCGTCATCACGGACGATGTTGCAGGCAGGGTGAAGGGTAGCGCCACTCGACGACCTGAAGCAGGTCGAGGTCGTAGTGCCATTGCTCGCGACGTTCCCCCGCACGCGAGGAGAGTCTTAGGGGTGGACTCGAGTGGGGAGGACGAGGGCAAGGCATGTGACGCTGACCGCCTTCGGGACCCTCGGTTCGATTCGAGCCACCACTCTGGGGAGCAGTCAGAGCAGCTTCGGCGGTCGCACAGGTTGGCAGGGCGTAGTGGTCCGGCGTCTCAGCAGCCTTAGGACATACCGGTAGTGGAGGAGACTCCATCACATAGCGGCCCCGCTCAGGCCGCGACATCGGACCTGCGCACCAGCGATTTCGATATTGCGGGTTCGCATGGGGGCTCGCCCGTCTTACGATGCAGAGTGGGTGACTAAGCTGAGTACAGGACGGATGTCAGGCAGAGGGAGAAGACAGTTGAGGAGAGGGACACTCGCCTGGATCGTGAGGAGGAGGCACGGTTATGTCCATGCCTCGATGGGCTGGCAGAGAGGCGTATGAAGCCTAGCAGCGGAGGCAGAGGGAGCTAGAGACGGTAAGAGCGGGTTCACCATCGAGCGTCAGACCATTGCCGACTTCAGGCACAATGCAGCCCCCCTCCCATGCTGGGGGTGCTGGTGCTGACACATGCAGATTGGATGCTGGCAACGGGGGGCTGGCATATGTGCGATATGAGGGTGGTGATGTTGGGGGTCTTGAGACAGTCGAGGCAGAGTCACGAGCTGAGAGCTCCGACGATGGCGAGAAGTGTGAAGCCGCAGAGGCTATTGTACACGGACGCTGTATTTGGCATATGCGCGGCTGGCACAGATGGCGGGATTCATGGAGGGGAGGAGGAGATGGTGGACAAGGGCAGTGCGCCTTTGGATGATGACGCAACACATGTTGAGGAGGAGGGAGCAACGGTCCACGCAGGCCACAATGCTCCGTCGGTGCGAGATGGCGAGACCGAAGGGCATGTTGAGGAGGAGGGAGCGACCGTCGATATGTCCCTCGCGATTATTGTTAGGCCCCCGTCTGTGCGAGATGTCGAGACAGGAGGGCATGTTGACTGTTGACTCGGGACGCCCGGTCTCTTTCTTTGCAGGTGGGTACTCCGGGGAGATGCCTCGGTGGGATGGCAGGGAACCAGGGGAGTGGACACCGACCCCTTTACATCTAGAGCAGCTGGAGAGGTTGGGGACGGAGGACACTTTCCCGTTCACCGGTGGACAGCCGTCGCCTCCGGCATGGACACCAGTGAGCCCTAGGTGGACTGGATTATCGCTGTCTGACATCCGCGAGCGGGAGTCCTTGGACAGACAGGTGACAGTGTTTTCAGGCGGGGTTGCCAGCAGCCATGTGAAGACACCGCTACGCCCTTTACCTCGAGCATTGCATTAGGGACTGGCGCTGGCCACAGGTCTTCCATCGAGTGGTGGTCGAGGCAGCGGGCGGGGACTTCTTTAAGTCATCGAGGTGGCGTTTTTGGGCGGTGGTCGTCTTGCAGGCGAGTGACGAACAGTTTGAGGAGGGACTACGATAGAGGACAGGGGCTGTTCGCACGAGACCATCAGGGGAGGGAGGGCCTGCAGTGGGTGCGAGTGAGGCTGGACGACCGAGTGTCCACACAGCAGGACGTATACTCGGATTGGATAGAGTTGGGACGAGGAGGACCGAGAGGATGGTGCTGCATCCGGCCCGATCAGCCATGGAAGATAGAGGACAGGGAGTGTCGTACACATCAGGCGAGGATGACTTGCAAATGCCACAGGGGTCAAGACGTCATGGCTCGATCATTGATCTTGAGACGCAGATTGCTGCTGAGGAGCAGCGGTTGGCAGAGCTGATTCCAGAGCGTGAGAGGAGGCCGAAGACGGAGGCATAGGCCGAGGAGACAGACACGGAGATTGAGCCCATCGAGACAGCTGTGCGCAGAGAGAGGCATACGAGAGCAGTGGCCGCGGCAGGCTCACGACTTGCACCCGTAGGGAGAGATAGAGCACCACATGGTAAGGGTCAAAGTGGGCAGAGAGGAGCATGGGCAGGGAGAGGGAGCGGAGCATGTCACAACACTCATACTAGGCGCAGTAGCAGGAGTTAGGGACTTGTGTAGTAGGGCAGATGAATTTTTTACTTTTTATTTTTTTGTATATTATCTTTATTTTATTTGTATATTACTTTCATGTTCTTAGTTGTTAGGTTTTAGACTTGCCCTACGTTGTCAGTTGTACATGGTTGTAGTAGTTGTTTCCTACACAACGTCATTAGTTATGGTTTTCTTGAAAATTGTGGGTGTTTGGCGAGGTTGTCATGTTGACTGTGTTGTTATTTCATCGTACTCACATCATGTTTGCCAATGCTATGTTTGTATCATGTATTGGTGTTTCTGTGTGTGTTGTATTGTCCTTATGTCTATCGAACCCAATCCCCTCCCAATTAATGTCCCTCCCCAAAGGCCTTTCAGCCAACATGCACTCTCTCTCTGCCCCCTCCCAATGAATGACACCCAGCAACACCCTCCCAACGAATGACTCCCCCACCCTATCAAACCCCCAAACCATTGCAAAAGAAAAGAAAAAAAAAATTATGTGTTGTGCAAGTGGAACCCCCAAAACCCAAGCCTGCTTTCTGGTTTTATTGTCCTTGTGTGTATAAAGTACTATAAACCCTAATCCTCTCCCAATGATTCGCCCCCGCCAACCCGGTTCCAACC